ACTAGCAATTTTCTTGCTAGCCAGCAATAGATTATTCATTCCGTTTCATAGAAAACTGAAGTTACCGAATGTAACATAAGATTCGCTATCTGCTCCAAAAACGTTTCACACCAACACTGGAAATTTCGGAGCTGTTTGCGATGTTAATAAGATCATACCCGAGTTCAAATTCCTTATTACCGAGGAAACTGTTTTAAAACAACCTGGGGAAATGACATAAACAAATATTGAGATGTTGTCATCACGAATTATGGTAAGTTGAAGGTAGCAGCTCCTGCGACAAACAATCGTTTTGCAAAAGCAGAGAAGATAGCCCAATCATGTAGAGTCAAATGACTGACGCTGGCTATACTGAGTACATGAGGTGTAGCTGGTAAACGACAGAATTTCAAATGTGAATAGCTGAAAGCCAAACTAAGTTTAATGTGCCAAATTGAACTTCACCACCGTAGAAGTTATCAGCTGTACGAGTAGCTGTTACAAGTTATACCGGAAATAGGTGCAAATACAGCAAGTTATAGTACAGAGGAATATCCATCAATCTCATAGGAACGATTTTATCAGCATTGCCAAATAGATCTGTGGGAAGAGAGCCTAGGAAATGATGAAGTGAAATCCCACTGTGTGCCGCGAGCTCACTTGGAGAGTCACAGTAATTCGCTACTACACTGAAGCTCTGGATATGCTGGCTGCAGTAGTTTTCCGGAAGTAGACTGATGGCTACTGCAGGCAACCAAATTTGTATTGCAATTACTGCAGGCCACGTAATGTCACTGAAGGTGGTCTTTCTACATGCTGAACTAATATTCCACGTCAGTGGACCAATATAAAAGCACTCACGCCAGACTGAAAAACCTGCGAATGCTTTACCAGTAAATCAGCCGTTGAGAAAACCGGCTACACAACGGTTAACACCGAATAGACGGACAAGTGCAAAATACTCTAACCAACGCATATATGCCTTCTTAGAACCAGAAATGGCCCACGACTTGTTGAGATTCCACCAATAGTGTGTTGAGCCAAAAATGTTTCGAGACTTCAGATGGTATATAATTTAAACTCAGCAAAAACATTACTACCACGACATAGAGGTGAGACTTGCAGAAGGACAGAACTTGTATAATTCTACTTGAGTCCAAAGAACTCTCTGGACACGAGAAGCTGAAAACTAAAGCTTTAAAATAACTGTGTTTAAAACAACCACAAACGAGTGCAGAATGAATGGTAGCAGATAACAATTGTAACTAGATTATTACACAAGGGAGCGTCGGTCAAGTGTGCAAAAATTTAACCAGAAACAATATGACCATACATACGTTAGCTGACAAAATACATGAAGTATTTGCCTCAAAGACAGCTGAGTTTGTACAGCACTGCAAAAGCTTACCTTTACTGTGTCATCATCAATGAATTAAAACAAAACCCTCTAGTGAAATGTTAGTTCTTAACGAGTAGACTCTTGGCAAACTAGACAATGCCAAGTATCAAGAGTGGAGCACAATATCACAACGGTGGACGCTTCAAAATCATCTGGACCAAAAAAGTGCATCCGATTGTACTGAACGTGCACATTTTTCTTTGTAGTCCCAAATTCTCAAGATACATATATACTGTCTTGGATCGCTAAATTAGTCGAAATACGGATTCTTGGTGGACGGCGTCGTATTGAGAGCCTACCAAAGGCAATGGAAATAACGAACCATTCGTGTTTGATTTCTGGGAAAACTACTCAAGGGTATAACCGGTTGTTTCCTCTGAGATCTCGTCATAATTTGTCAGTCTGTTCAGTATCAGTCTTTTTTCTATCTAATTATCCAAAAATAAAATCCGTGGGAAACCATTGTTACTTCACCAACCCGAAGGGCTACCTATCAACTTTGAAAGCTGAAGTCCTTTCTTACGACAACAAATTATCTTGCAGTCGATCTCCACCTCTGTGGTTCAACATTCTATCCAAAAAAGACCACTTTGTTTCAATACCATGAAAGTTTACATCCAAAATGATGGATCACCTGACAAACCCACCAAAAGTACCATTAAAATTCGGATCTGTCTGCTCCACTACTTTGTGTTGGTAACCGGTTTTAGTGAGAACTCCACATATTGTTCGGCATGGCACCTCGTTCTTGTGGATCTGGGTGCTTAAAAGCAGATTCCATTTATACTGGTTTCACTACTTATGCATTCTGTATGCTACCTAATGAGGTGGATAGATGGTCCTTTCTCATGGGATGGTAATCGTTGACTTGTGTTTAGTACAACAAATTGCGCATTGTGGCTCGGGATGCGCTTTCAAAACCCGTCGGTCCAGGTGAATAGTCAACGCTACCAACATCATCGGGAATCGTGATATCCAATACTGGATGGAAGTTCGTTTTTTACTGCTGTGGTCGGGCTGTAAGCTATATGTTCTCGTCTTTTAGAGGTTTCAGTATGGCCAAAGATTGATGAAGCGACAGAACTTTTAATCTTACGATTTCCAAAGTAACTTTCACATGGCAAGTGTGCCGAAACCCGCATCCCCTTGAATGGTAAAGTCATCAAATTCTTCCCTAGGTTTCATGGCATCACATTAGTTTAACCCCTTTGTAGATGTCTATTGCCGGCAAATCCTACTCAGTCGGATTTTCATAGAATTCACTAACGCCATTTCCAAATTGATTGTTAACTAACTCTTCGTTCAACGTGAATTCAAATTAGTTGTTCCAATGTGACAAGTAACTCAAAATACCAGGTTTCAGGCTGATTTTATCCGGTATCGATCAGTGGCTTTAATGGCTAGAAAGTGAATGTATTTCTTTGACTGAACGGCGTCGAAACACTGTGTGGGTGTGACATTCAACAAGAACGTCGAAATGATTACCCAGGAAGTCTATAGATGTGGTTCCATCGTGATCACTTTTTCAAGTGAGCACAAATCTGAAAACGACCAGTCAGGTAGGTCAAAGTAGGATGACGCAGTGAGTGGCCAGATGTTAGGTCCCCCAATGACACATCGTAGCGTATCTGTCGCATCTGTTGAGATTCCATGGCCAAACTCGACAGTTCAGTCAGTTTTGTAACCATCCGCTATTAACCCCTCCTTGTGCAATCATAATGTGGATAGAATGATGGAGCCTCGAGTGTAACACACAAGAACTTGGCTAATTTCCTATGAAACAAAAATGGTTGGTTTAAGATTTTCTTAACCGTCACATTGAACTTGAGACTTGGTCAATCCCTGTAAATGGGGACATTCTTCCCATTAGAAGGGAAGATACTGACCGGATCTCACACGTCGTTCCTATACGTCTTGAAGCCTGGAATACTGGGACATAAATGTCACATTAAGATGACCGCTTGTCCTCTCGGACAACATCCTTTGAGTAGTCTTCATTGGCTGGGAAGTCGGATGGAGACAGGACTAAATAACTGGACCATTACTAGATAGATTGAATACCCCCAAGGTAGTGAGTGGCCAGCAATTTCGCACACGGTTTGCGACGAATGAAACTGCCAAGCGTCTTGTATACAACACTGCATTCAACAACAGTCAAAGGATGCCGATGATTCTCCCCACAGGTCATTTTTCTAAATTTCACAGCACCAGACTTGCATCCCAATTCCTGACGTCACATGATTATTACAGTCATGCGCTTATCGTGTATTTATATGTCTTTGACCAGTCTATTCAGCCATTTTGCGGAGCTTGTTGGAATCAGTTAGATCAGTTTTTTCTTCCCTACTGAGGGTCACGGATTCCAACCTCTTCCTTGGTGTTCTGTGTAAGATGCACACGGCGGATTAAACAGCGGAACAGTGCTTCTTGACATTTGGGCACAGAGCGGCTTCACTTAGGAGATCGTCATCAAAATTTCCAAATGTCTTCATACAACCGACAATCCATAAGTTGGCCGATGTCAAATGGACGAGGTTACGGCCCTCTGTCAGCAGACTTGAGGCAGGTAAATTGCTTGTGATCTGCGCTGTTGTTCGGGGGCCAGCCGTCCCTAATAACTCAGCACGTATGACCGTGTGATGTGTACCCCATGATCGAGGGATGAGCGGCGCTATCATATCCTGTATAAGTACACCGCTGGTCAGCCACTCGTGGCCGAAAGGTTAAGATTCCCAGCTGGTAATCGAAAGGATGCATCGGTCTCACCAGAGTTTCATGGGATCCACACTGGTGATATTCTCCAATAATATGGAGACGATGCATCTCGGCCTTTCAGTATAGATTGGTTTCACTTACTCCACGAAAAACCTAAAAACCGCAAAACTCCTCAATTTTATCACACCATCAACAGCATTGAATTGACTTAAAGTACTGGAAAAATAGAATCTCAGAATAATTACCAGGATCGCGCTCTCGCATTTAGTAAGCAGTGACCCCAACCTTGGTGTTATTTTTCCACAACATGTATGCATGTTTTCATAAAGGAGACCACGCACAAGGTTACTGAAAACTCTCCGATAGCCCACGACCATGCACGCACCTTGTATGCATGCGTTCCATTTCAGAGTCAGTCAAATGATCTTGTATTCACGCTGGATGATATCAAATTTTGATCTATTTGTTTCGCCATATTCCCTAAGCTAAGCTTTACAAAAGACTCTCCTTCGTTTGGGGGTCCTCATTAGCATTTCCTGGCTGGAGTAGTTAAAACCACGCGCCCACCTCCAAAGAAAGAGAAAACTATAGAGTTATTTATTTCTGAAAGAAAGGAGGTCTCTGCTGTCGAGTTATTTACCAGAAAACGTTAAGTGAACAGTTACAGACTATTGGACAGGGAAGCAAAACTCTCATATGCATCTTGTTTACAAAACCGAATATCCACCTTCTCCCTGAACGCGTCTTCCTAAACTTTCCTGGATATTTACTGACTGTTTCTCAAATACAAGCAAACGCGACTCCACCGATTCCGTAATAGATATCACGTTTCAAGAGACGCAAAGCGGGTTTACGAGGAAACATACTACTTCCATGCCCCATCAGTAGTATCCACCGTTTCACATCTATGACTTTTCCCCTCCCCGAAAGTTACTGTATTTACGCAGACAGTTTGCGGCTGTCAGTCCCCCAGACGAATCTGTGATGCATCCATTTTGAGCCTTAATTACGACTTGTGGTAGGCTGTTTGTCACCTTCATCGAAAAGTTACGTGTTTTCACTTACAGGATCGCGGTTTTGATTCCCTTTAGGGGCCATTATCCTCTCACGAAGGGTAAACAGTACACCTTCACTTTACCTTATTTCAGATCAATTATAACTGTTTGCGAATATTTTCTGAAAACAGGGTCATCGGTTTGTCCATCCAGCATGGAAAATAATAGAAAATTCTTTGTCGGAGGGAACTGGAAAATGAACGGAAATCAGTCGGAAATCGACAAACTTATAAAAATGCTGTCGAAAGCACATCTCGACCCAAACACAGGTTGGTTATCACGTGCTGTCATTAAATTCTGTCAAAAGGTAAAATGCAAGTCAACTCCTCCTTCCTTCCTTTTATCTAGATGTGTTAGTGGCGCCCCCTGTTCTTTACTTGCAAAGTGTGAGAGAGAAGCTTCCAAGGCGTTTTCTGGTTGCAGCACAAAACTGCTACAAGGCGTCGTCCGGTGCTTTCACCGGCGAGCACAGGTGAGCGTCTTTTAGACGAGCTGACTCGCCAGGATTCACCCGAATAAACGTCTTCCGTGATTCTCACATCCTAGAAGATGTCCTCTCTTTGGAGTACTCGATAACGTGTTGTTCCAAGAAAGGAATCCGTACTTTATATGTGCAGTTATGTTCTGGCCCGGTGCCACTCACCAGACTGACGACAAAACTCGAAAAACATACATTTTACATTTTACCCACGAACTGGCATGTGCGCAGCGGATCTGATAAAAATCGCCGAATCGGTCTGAGGTTGCCACCTGGCAGTTCGCAAATAAGTCCTTGCTCTACAGTCAGAAATAATCACTCCAGAAAGGGCTTCTTCGGAGCCCTCTGTTTCATAGGTGGATACTTCTGGAGAATACCATGGGCCAAAAACTAATTAGCATACTCAGAGCATATTATGGGTAGATTTTGTGAAATAAGTTCTCCAGCTAAGACCAACCTAATTCGAGTTTCGGTTTACCAGGTGAACACAAGCTGCTGTAAACCGACAACAAACTACTCCAGGTAATGACGGCTAGATGGAGAGGGCACCTAAAACTGCCAGTTAAACTCACAACCACGTTGATTGTAACAGCCTCTGCTGCATAGAAGCTGACTCGGGTTTTCCAAGTAGTTGTGGTCCTATTTGTTCTCTAGATGAAGCAGTCCCGGTCCGGAACCCGCTTCGATCCAGTGATCTGAATTCAGCGATATGTGTGCGCTTTATCTGAACAGACGTTGATAAGCAACAACTAGCGTTCAAAAGGAACGGAGGTTAACCGTTGGCGGTTTTGCTGTTTTTCATCAGTCCGTTTGTTTTTTTCGTTGCGTAAACAGGGCGCTGTATCGGTGTGTCTCTTAAGCGTTCGCTGCTGTAAATTCGTCACTGTTTTAATTTGCTTGTGATCTGAATGGTTGACCTTGAGGCATGGACTTTTCCTGTCTGTAACCTGGGATTTTCCCGGCTTTCTTTTGCGGTTGATCTTGTCCTCTGGCACACGATTTGCTTGGGTGTGATCCAACACTCACTGAGTTTTGTCTGTCGGTTGACTGTCATCTTGGGGGAAATAGCCCGGCGTAACTCCGTATTACTATTGTTCCACTGTGAAACGGGACTGTTCCCTTATCCTCATGCGTAGAAACCAAAGCAACTGAGTCATAGCTTCTTGCAGCCACCAAGTGTTTCCTGATTCGTATGGACGCCTCCATTTGGCTTGTTCCATGCAGTGTTTGCTGCACTCTTTTGAATCTTTCTTGATCCCGGTGTTACTTTATGCGCGTTTAGTAGGAAGCAAGCCGTGTGACGATACAGGGGAATCTACTGAGTCGTGAAAATGCAGGAGCACTTTCACTGAGAGCCCATGGGTACTTTCCAATAAATTTAGCTAGTTGACCTAAAGATAACAGTTGTGAGCCTTAAGCAGTTAATGGGATATTGCAGTCAACTGAGCTGAGCTCAAATGGGACCCATATAAACCCGACGACACTCGACGCCTAAACATTTACGTTCATCGCGGCGAATTAAAAATCACGTGGTTAAGCAAATCAAACAAGTTTGTTGAAGTTCAAATATGACAAAGGAACGGAGAAAACGGTCCCGATATGTCCACAGGGACAGTTTGGAATTACTAAGACTAGTAAAGCCCGTTTTCCCTGTCATAAATGTTTCGAATACAAGAGGCTATACTACTGTGTCAAAGACGAATCTCTGACAACATTAATCAAAATCACGTGACTTGCTGCAAGTTCAAGTTTGCAGTAATTTGATAAGAAAAAGAATGACTGCTTCTGCAACGAGCTCGTAGTTTTAAAAAAGTTGTTAATGATGAATTTAACTCTGAGGAAGCTCTGCACACACGAAAACGCGGAATTTCGTTCACGTGAATAGGGATTTTGTTCCGAAATATTTGATTTGGTTTTCATTTGTATCACCGAAATTCGGCCATACGATTCCTGTGGTATTAGTGGAGCCGAAAGTTGCTTAACTCGGTGTGGAATTAGATTTTTCTGTCAACGTGAAATCATTTAAATGTATGGTTGGGTTCGTCAGTAATTTCGCCCCCTAGTGTAATTTTATTCGTATTCATAATACTCGCAACACTACTGAAGAAAGTATTTTACTGTTTTCTCCTGACGACGACTGCCGAGTTGAGAACTAACCTTCAGTTTTCAGAAACAATAAAAATCACCAACATTTCTGCTCTTTTGAATGTCTGGACACGTTAATTCATCTTTAAAATAAGAACCCAGAACGAATGTATCGTTTCAGAAGAGCTTGATGAACAATCGGTAGTTTTTATTTGGGCAACGTTTCGCTTTTGACACAAAAGCTTCATCAGGTCAAGTGAGCAAGTCACTAAATTGACCAGGTTATAAGGCAGACAGGGAACCAATCAGTAAGTCAGTCTTCTTCAGATTATCACACTAGATCAGTGGTGTCAATTACGGCTCTCGTCGGTTAGTGGAGTCGTCAAAATCTTGCTTTGGTGGATTGGGGGTGGGGGAAAATTAATTCTGATCGGGTTTGCTTCGTTAGTTTTCAACTTCAGGGTGCTTCACTTGATGATTCACCTCAGTTGCCACTGGTAAGAAGAATAAGGTCTTCACTGCGGGGTTATTTATTGGGAAATGCCAATTGACCGGTTACAGACCATTGAACAGGGAAGCAAAACTAACTTGCATCTTATTCACAAAAACTGGACATCTATCTTCTCCCGAACGCGTCTCCTTGAACCTTCCTGGAGATTCATTGGCTCCAATCACTCCTCGCTCAAATCCAAGCAAATCCTACAAAGTGAATCCACGAATTCCGCAACAGGTCTCCCCTTTTCAAAAGAAGCAAAGCGAAATTCCACGAACAACACATACTACTCGCGTGCCTCCCCATCAGTAGAATCACCGTTACACTGGTAGATTTCGCCTGGTTTTTATGGGGTCTTGAGTGCTCCGACAATTTTGTTTGAGGGTTTGAGGTCAAGTGGCATCCAGATGACCACTCTTCCTTCTGATGACCGCACACCAACACGTGTCAGCTCGACTGATTCAAAACCGCTCTCTGCACGCTTGCCAGTTCCACGCCTACTATTCTGTTAACACTGGGATGCTTGGCGATTTCTACCGCCCTCGGCTATCGTCTCTGTGACGTTTATCAAGCTCTTCTGAAACGGTGACCCCTCAGTTGGTTTCAAACCTTTCCAATTGACTCAGAAGGAATTTACTTCTGACAGGAGAATCAACGGAATCCAACTTAGTCTCCCGTTAATGATAATCCACTCCAACTGAACGTGCTGAACCAGGCTGCTTCATGTTTCAGTTGGCACGACATTCGAGATATCGCAATACGTTGTTGTCTGGACGTAATGATAGATTTAACTGCATTCTGTTGAGTCTCTTGTCAACACCAAATTGGTATGCAACGGAGAGTATGTGCCGCAATAGGTCCAATCGGAGTTCAGGTAGAACATAAAACTGACGAATGCTCGGGGACTTTGTCTCCCTTGTGAGCCTCAAAATGAGTGAAACCAGTCGTGGGATATTAAAAGGTTTTTGACGACTTTATAAGTAGTGTTCTACGTCTAGATAAAACCTTTCCAGAGAACGTTCTTCGATCAGGAAAACGTTTTTTTACTGTCTTCACGGAAACCAATCCGCATGTTTGGGTGTTTAACCAAGAATCAGATGTCTTCGGCAGGTATTACTATGATATTTTCTGTCCATCTAGGCTGTCATTAATCGACCAATACTGACTGAGTAAACTACAGAGAAGGTTCACGCAGAGAACCAGAGCCTACAGTGTGCTAAACTGGGCTACATATGTTGATCAACGAGGACCTACTGAACTGCGGTGAATTCCGCTCAGAACTGAGCTATTCTCTTGAAGATGGAATAAAATTTATCGTTCGCTTTGTGTCGTCTGAATGTCATCAGCGAGTGCAAAGCTGTAGCTCACAAATCTTCATAAGCTGTCTTGATTTGCACAGACTGATGTGACGAAACAGCTGATAACATGCGCTTACCTCTAAAAAGTGGTGCATAACCTACCATCGGTATGCCGTCAGTAGTTATAACGGCGGCATACCTGTCGTGACCTCTTGGTCCTTTTCCTGAATAACCTAGGCGCCGCAATTCGGTTTGTCTCGTCTGCAGAAAAATGGGATTGGTTCATGTCATATCTGCTGATTCGCCGGCCTGTGGTATCCGCTGCTGACGCGCTCCAGTGCTTACTGTCGGACAGAAAAAGACTCACGGAAGGGAACACAATAGCTATATTCCAAAAACGCGTTTGCGAGAGCGCGAGTGCGAAAAGTACAACGCCTTCGAGCTATTTATTGGAAGGACACTGTCTGAACTTGGTCCAATGCTGACACACGCGGTCTGGCTTTAGTACGAGGCAGCGACGTGCTGCATATTGCGGAGGCTTTGTCTGACATTGATCAACGCTGACTCGAGCTGTCTGGGTTTGATGCAAGGCTGTGACGCGCTGCGTATTGAGGGGGCGTTGTCTGTCTGGTTAACACCCAGCGGAGCTGAGAGTCTCCGTAGATTCCGGGCATTCAGTGGTTACTTTCAGGAAGCTGACGTTCCTGATATTTTCCGTGCCAAATCGTGTGTGCTATACTAACCACTTGACGTATTGTCCCCAATAAATGCATGATAAATATCGATTCAAAACTCAGATGCATGATATAAATACTCCTTTAAAAGTTTGACACGTACAAACGTGGCACTGCTCTCATTAACTCATTTCAAAGGCTTTGTTACCGAAGGCAACAAAAAACCTTTCAAATTTCAGCCATGAACGAATTCTGTATGTTTTTTGGCGCGCAGGCCAGCAATTCCCGCAATGAGATTTAAACCACCGAGCCATTTTATTTGGGTTTATAATTGTCGAATAAAAACCTGAAAATTCTAGGGAAGCGTTTAAAATTGGCGATTTCCTGAAAATTAACTGCATTTCCCGGCTGCAAGCTTTTTCTGTAGTGGGCGGGAAATTTGAA